GGAACGACTTTTCACAAGTCTCACTCCACACAAACTTGGCCCCTTTTCGCGTCAATCTAGTCAACAGCGAAGCTAGCCTGGAGAAATCTTTCACAAACCGACGGTAATACTCGGCCAATCCCGGAAAACTGCGGATCTCAAAAACACTCTTAGGCTGTGCCCAATCCTGCACTGCCTCTATCTTGGATGTATCAACAGACACCCCTTCTTCGGAGACTACATAGCCTAAGAACTTGACTTCTCTTAGCCAGAACTCACACTTCCCAAACTTAGCATACAGCTTATGGGCTCTAAGCAACTCAAGCACCACTCTCAAGTGTTCCTCGTGCTCCTCCTCAGAAGGTGAATAAATCAGAATGTCGTCCATGAAAACGACCACAAAACGATCTAAGAATTTTCGAAAGATTCGGTTCATCAAGTCCATAAAGACTGCCGGTGCATTGGTGAGCCAAAAAGGCATCACCAGAAACTCATAATGGCCATACCGCGTACGGAATGCCGTCTTCGGGATGTCCTCCTCCCTGACCCTCAACTGATGGTAACCCGATCTCAAGTCTATCTTAGAGAAACAACGGGACCCTTTCAACTGGTCAAACAGATCATCTATACAAGGCATAAGGTACTTGTTCTTAACCCTAGTCCGATTTAATTTCCGGTAATCAATATAAAGTCTTAAGGCCCCATCTTTCTTTTTAGCAAAGAGGGCCGGTGCTCCCCACGACGAAGTACTAGGGTGGATAAAGCCCTTATCTAGCAACTCCTAGAGTTGAATCTTCAACTCACTCAACTCAGCTGGGGCAAAACGATATGGTGCCATAAAAATCGGCGTTGTACCCGGCACTAAATCAATAGAGAACTCCACCTCTCGATGGGGTGGCAAACTAACAAGATCCTCGGGAAAGACGTCCGAGTACTCACAAACCACCCTGGGTAACTCAATCTGGATCTCATCACACTCACTACTCGTAAAGCTAGTGAGAAGGCCACTAAGCTCACTCCGCCCTCGCGGATCATACACTGGTGGCAAAACACTATCAACCCGATCCCCCAAGAAATGAAAACAATTCCTGTTCAAAGTACATATAGTAACCCTCTGGCGGTAGCAATCAATAACAGCTCGGTATGACGATAACCAGCCCATACCCAAAATCACATCAAAACCGAACATAGCCATAACTACAAAAGAGAATGGAAGCCGGCGGTCGGCGACCTCAATATCACAACCTCTACATCCTTGTTTCAAGATCAACTCACCCCCAACAGGTGATACAACTGAAACAGGAGAAGCTAACTGGGCCAACTCTAACCCCAAAACAGATGCAAATGCAGTAGATATAAAGGAATGAGATGCACCCGTATTAATCAACACATTCGCAACCGAGTTGCAAAACAAAAAGGTGCCTCTCACAACAGATGGAGCTGGTACAAGGTCCTGTGCAGTAACAGCATACACACGCCCTACCTGCTCTCCTCTCGGAGCAGAAGACTGCTGCACAGATTGAGACGATGAGGCTCTCTAATTGGCCCTTGAGGCCTGAACAGACTGAGCTGGTTGATAACTCTGCCTCGACCTAGACGCACCAGATGTGCCACTCAACTGCGGGTAGAACCTCTTCAGGTGCCCCACCTAACCACACTGGTAACAAGAGAGCGGCTGGCTTCTACCATGACTTTGGCTCTGAGGATGAGCCGAAGATGAAGCTGCTCTCTGTCCCCCTCCCCTCTGCGGGCAAACTGGAGACTTGTGGCCCAGCTGACCACACTTGTAACAAGTAACGTCTCCCTGACTACCTCTCCCAGAACCTGAACTCGGCACTGGAATGGTGGATCTCGCAAAAGTACCTTGGGACTGCTGAGGGTTAGAACCCCTCTGCCTCCTACCATCCCCTGGCCATCCTGACTCCTCTTAGAGCCCCTTATCCTCTCCTCTTCCTCATGCATCATAATCTCAAGATGCGCCACAGCATCCACAAGGCGTCCATACTTCCGAGTCATGGACCCCGCAACCCTAAGCTTAAGCCTGATCTTCAACTTCTTTTCAAACTCAAGACAACGACGTTCCTCAAACGCCACCAACTCCGGTGCAAACCTCGATAAACTGGTAAATGCGACCTCAAACTCGGCCACTGGTGTATTCAGCTACTTGAGCTGACAGAACTGATCCCTCCACTTCTCCCTAACAGCGGGAGGCAAAAACTTCTCCTGGAAGGCATCAACGAAAGCCTCCCAAGTCCCACCAATACGCGCACGAGTAAACTTCCACCACTGACCCGTATCCCCCTTCAGCTGGAAAGACGCCAAGGTCACCCTCAAAGCTCCGTCTTCGATGCCTAGCATCTCAAACGTCTTCATCATCTGCTCGAACCACTCATCAGCCTTAAGTGGCTCTTTAGGATGCCCTAGAAACTCGTCCGGATTGGACCTGAAAAACTCCCTTTTCAGAAAAGACGACCCTGCCTCAGCTACATGGGCCTGGGCTTGATTCTTAGCTCTGAGAATGCCCATGGATTCCCTCAATGTTCCTGCCATCTCGCGGGCTAAGGCGCCTATGGCCTGCTAACCTACTGGCTCGGCCACATTGGCCTGACCAACACCCTCCTGCTACGCCGGAATCTCATCCGGTATAGGCTTGTCCTGCCTCCTAGGCCTGCCACGCCAACCACCATGTCTTCGTCCTGACATCCTAATAAAGGTAACAAAGACATTAGTACATTCACAAATGTGCCGAAGTTATTTCACTCGTGTCCTAATGCATTGGACAACAGTAATTCATTCCACGTATGCACATAATCACATAAGCACTTACGAATTTCATTTCCGGATAATGACAGTCCCGAGGCGTTGCTAGAGTTCCAGTTAGAAACAGTATTGATCAAGTGCTTTTCCAACAGGACTCCCAAAAACCCAAGGATCCAATCAACAATCTAGAAATTAAATCTCATACCCATATAGCCACATAAACATGTTATCACATAAGCACATAACATTACATCTAAGTCTCTAACAAGCGAGACAAACCCACTTTGGTACTAACCACTTCCCACGTACCCAAAGTATTCAAACCAGGTACGCTCTGATACCAAGTTGTAACGCCGATGAAAACATGATCCGCTCAGATTAAATAGAAGCCCTCGCCGATCTCTATGTTTTGGTATATGGAACTAGGGGTTAAAGATGCTTAGAAATAGATGAAATCAAGGTCAAAAAGTTTGGAAACTCAAAAATGGCAGAAAGAGAGAGGCAAAAATCTGTATGGAACGCCATTACGACGTCCAAGTTCAGTTTGTTCAAAAATAGTTGGCTTTGGTTTTTTTTTTTTGCTTATCCACAAACAAACAAAGATATACTACTTACTGGATTTTTGGAATTTCACGTCAATGTGAAGTAGGCCAAACGTTTAAATCGAAAAAAAAAGAAAAAAAGAAAAGAAAAAAAGATAGGCCAAACGTGGTAGCGTGTCATTACTTATCATTTTGGTCACTTGTTCACACACTTGTTCACTGAACTTTGACTTCCCTCCCTTACTCTTCCCCAACCCACTCTTCGTCGCTACCCGATCAAAATCATCCTCAAGCTTCCTCACCAGCGTCCTCCTCTTCCTAACCCCATCCTCACGGTCATCTTCCTCTTCGATCACTGTCGTGAACTGCCTCCACCGCTTTGTTGCCATCGGTGCCGGTGGCGTCGATGGGCTTGAATCCTGGTCACCTTCGATGCGGCCTTGGAGGCGGAGGCACTGAAGCCGAGTCCGCCTACGGACTTGCCCACACCATCAACGGGTCAATAACTGAAGAAGGAGGGACAACCCGCTCGTCGTTGAACTTGATGTCGGTGTAGATTCGAGGCCTGGGTGGGCTACTACCACCGGGACCTTGAGTTACCACCATGTTGAAGGATTCAACAAAAATTTCTTTCCCTCTCTCTCTCTCTGTCTGTGATTTCCGTGATTATTGAAGGATTACTAAGGATTAATAACAATTGTGATGTATTTATATAGAGTCTCTCTGTCTGTGATTTCCGTGATTATTGAAGGATTACTAAGGATTAATAACAATTGTGATGTATTTATATAGAGTCTCTCTGTCTGTGATTTCCGTGATTATTGAAGGATTACTAAGGATTAATAACAATTGTGATGTATTTATATAGAGTCTCTCTGTCTGTGATTTCCGTGATTATTGAAGGATTACTAAGGATTAATAACAATTGTGATGTATTTATATAGAGTCTCTCTGTCTGTGATTTCCGTGATTATTGAAGGATTACTAAGGATTAATAACAATTGTGATGTATTTATATAGAGTCTCTCTGTCTGTGATTTCCGTGATTATTGAAGGATTACTAAGGATTAATAACAATTGTGATGTATTTATATAGAGTCTCTCTGTCTGTGATTTCCGTGATTATTGAAGGATTACTAAGGATTAATAACAATTGTGATGTATTTATATAGAGTCTCTCTGTCTGTGATTTCCGTGATTATTGAAGGATTACTAAGGATTAATAACAATTGTGATGTATTTATATAGAGTCTCTCTGTCTGTGATTTCCGTGATTATTGAAGGATTACTAAGGATTAATAACAATTGTGATGTATTTATATATATATATATATATAGAGAGAGAGAGAGAGAGAGAGGTGTCTTCAATGGTGAGTCAACACAATTTTTTAATAAGGTAAATTATGTTAATCACAACCATTTCACTTGACTCACCATTGAAGACACCTCTCTCTCTCTCTATATATATATAGAAATACATTATAATTGTTATTAATCCTTAGTAATCCTTCAAAAATCACGGAATATATAAAAATACATCACAATTGTTATTAATCCTTAGTAATCCTTCAATAATCACGGAAATCACAGACAGAGAGACTCTATATAAATACATCACAATTGTTATTAATCCTTAGTAATCCATCAATAATCACAGAAATCACACAGAGAGAGAGAGAGAGAGAGAGAGGGAAAGAAATTTTTGTTGAATCCTTCAACATGGTGGTAACTCAAGGTCTCGGTGGTAGCAGCCCACCCAAGCCCCGAATCTATATCGACATCATGTTCAACGGCGAACGAGTTGTCCTGCCTTCTTCGGTTACTGACCCATTGATGGCATGGGCTGAGTCCATGGGCGAACTCGGCTTCAAGTGCCTTCGCCTCCAAGGCCACATCGAAGGTAACCAGGATTCAAGCCTATCGCCGCCTCCCGCACCGATGCCGACAAAGCGACAGAGGCAGTTCACGACGGTGATCGAAGAGGAAGATGACCTTGAGGATGGGGTTAGGAAGAGGAGGACGCCGGCAAGGAAGCTTGAGGATAATTTTGATCGGGTAGCGACGAAGAGTGGGTTGGGGAAGAGTAAGGGAGGGAAGTCGAAGTTCAGTGAAGAGTGTGTGAACAAGTGACCAAAATGATAAGTAATGACACGTTACCACGTTTGGCTTATCTTTTTTTTTTCTTTTTTTTTTCCGATTTAAACGTTTGGCCTACTTCACATTGTTGAAGCCTATTTTCTTAATAAATAAAACATTGGAAGTTGAGGGATGCTAATAACGGTCACATACTGTGGGAATCAAATAATTCCAACGATGACCAAAACCAAATGGTGCAACGTCGCTTTCCAAAGCTTATCCACAAACAAACAAAGATATACTACTTACTGGATTTTTGAAATTTCACATTTTTAATGATTTTTAGATTTTTTGTAAAATATTTTTTTAATGTATTTAAAAATGATTTTTTTTAATTATATAGAAAAAACATGAATAACTGACTTATTTGATTTACTTTTTAAATATTTTTTTGGTTTTTATTTATTTTTTATTTTTTTAGCCTAAAAGTCAAGTTACTAGGATTCGTTTAAGAAATATTTTTTTGGTGATTTTTAATTAAAATATAATAAGATGAAAAAAATTAAGATTTTGAACTTTTACAAAAAGATGGATAAAAGGTAAAGAAAATAATAAATAAATTTATTAATTTATTAATTTTTAACTTTTTAGTATTTTTATTATTATTATTATTTTTTAGTTTGGATCTTTTTAAACCAAGCAAACTATTTTGAACAAACTGGACTTGGACGTCGTAATGGCGTTCCGTATGTGACGCCCCAAATTTTGATAATATAACAAAATGATACACCGGGGTTTAACTAGCGGATACACATCATTTTCAAGCACAAAATACAAATAATTACACTAAAAGAAAATATTAATAATAGTTACAGCTAAAGTTCTTTAAGTCTTTAAATACATATCAGTTCTTTGATACAAAAAGATTATCTAGGAAATATAAAATCTAATCTCTATGGCATCCATGATTCCTTAAAGTTTTTAGGGATTCCATTCTCGGTGTAAAACTCGCCTTCACCTGGCATAAAACGCCATGAGCTTGGAATGCCCAGTAAACACACACACCTCGACCCTTTTTCCATTCCAAATACACAAGTAACATAACAGCATGATCATAACATACAACGAAAGCAATAATTAAGCAAAGCTTATAACTAAATTTCGGTTCTCAAGAATAACAGTCAATTAAGTTAGTTCTAGGAAACTCCCCGCGGAATGCCGTTCCTACCCAACCACTAACACTGGCCACGGGCAATTCTGACTCCCCCTTAGTTAATACAATACCAATGCGTCGCTTACCACATAACCACCAGTGCGTCGCTTACCACACAATTACCAATGATGCCCACGTACCTAGGTTACATACCCGAGTGGTGACATCACGGTCTGCCCCCCAAGGGAACGGGCTTCCAGGGATACTCTCCCTGTGTGAGACCCTCATTGCCATCCTTATGCCTCCCATTTCCGTTAAGCAGCTAGAATACCTCCCGTGCCATGTTAGGTTTCGAAAACACACTTGCACAAGACTTCATAAAACTGAAACTCATTCCACTATATCATACTCTTGAATCTATCGTTCATTATCTCATAAAATTTAATACAACGATCGTAACCCATTACCATCCCATTTGATTTCCCCTTTAATAAGTGCATTATGTTCTCAGTTATACAAAGCATGGTCAATATAATTACGAATCCAAACTAAACAACAAGTAATTTATTCATGGTAAAGCGAATTCATAATTTATCATAGATTACATATCAAGACTAAAACATTCAAGAAATATAGAATATAAGAGTTGCAAACCAAATAAGAGCATATTAACACAAATTTTTAGATTTTCATATTTGAATCAGCTTGAAAATAATTATGAAAAAAATAATTTTACTGCCCCTAAGTACATGGCCTCTTGTGAGTTTGTAGATAAATAAGTCTAGTTTCAAAATTAATTTACCAAATTAGGATAGTTATTTTAGATTTTAAGATAATTCAGAACTACCAAGATCTTTCCAAATTTGTTGACCGTTACGCAATTCGATTTTCCTCTCAAACCATTCACTCTCTCAAGTTGAAACAATTTTTAGTTGAAATATAACACCAAGATTAAGATTTTGACATAAAAGTGGACTCAAGATTATTTTTCTGGAATTTTCTAAAAGTAGAGAAAGTTGACTATTTTTCTGGTTCTGTGAGTAACAAACTTAGAAAATTTGTTTAGGTTATAAAAATACATCGTTAGGTCCTACCAAAATTATCACATACTCTACACATACCAAATATTACACCATAAAAACAGATTTTGAGTTTATGGAGCTTTGATAGGAAAATAAATTCAAGAGAGGGAAAAGATTTGTTGCTGGAAATTTAAGAAAGAAAGAGAAGCACACCATTTCTTGATTAATACACATTTAAACAAGAGTGTAGGTCTAGACTACAACATATATATATATATATATATACAAATAGCATGTGTTAGGAGGGGAAAAACAAGTGATAAAAGAACTTGAGAGAAGAGGTGATGTAGGTTTACCTTTGTTATACAAGACTCAACACAATTCTTCATTTCTTTCTTCTCCTCTCTCTCTCTTTTCCAAGATCACTCTCTTTCACTCCTCTAGTGCATGGCTGAAAATGTGTAAAATGGGGAGGGAGAAGTGTGCATATATATAGAGAAAGGATTGGAAGGTTTCTTAGGGGCCAAGTTCCATAGGTGTAATTTGTCAAAGTTGTCCATCAAGGCCATTTCAACCTCACATGACTAGCTACTTGGGCACCAAGAAATATATATTTGTATATACATATATATATATATATATATATATAAGATATTTGTATTTATGAACATAATATAATAGACACTAGTACATTAATTAATAAAATATTACAATTAAGGTTTGGAATGGAATAAAATAGAAGTATATAGGGACGAAGTCTAAATTTATGAAACCTTGATATTTCCTATCAATATATTAACATTAGAAAATAGTTAAGATAATACATTCAGGTCCCGTTAAATTAAAGCGCAAACAAAAACGAGAAACCGAGCGAAAACGGCGTTATCAGGAATTAGGATTTTAAAGTGATTAATCTATAATTTTAGGGTCTAATAATTAATAATAGGGCTTTAAAGGTGATTATTAATCTGTCGGGATCGATTTGGGTTTACTCGAATTAATCCGTGATGCTTCTCGATTATAGGGTTTAAAACGCAATTAAGCAAAAATTCAAGGGTTTTATTGAAATAAACTCAAGGTTAGGGATTTAATGGAAATTACAAAATTAGGGTCTCTACATCGTACAGACCTGTGGTCAACAACAAATCTTCTGTAAGCACAAGATGGGGCAATTTGGGAAGAAGTTAAAAAAAATAGTTTTTTAGTTTTTTTATACAAAAAATTACAAAAAAAGTCACAAAAAGTCAGTTTTTTTAACACAAAAAAGCCAAAAAATTACAAAAAAAAAATCAAAAAGTCAACTTTTTACCAACTTCCTAAAACACCATGAATTACACTAATCTTCTCTTAGCAATCATAAATTTTGATTGTGCATATTCTTTTTAAATAAAATTAAAAATTTTAGAATCTACTAATTGTGATATAAAATCAAAATGGATTATGAAATTATGCAAGTGAAAAAACTAACAAATTTAGTAGTTTTTGAAGTAAATTTCTTAGTCTTCTAAACTGTGAAATTTCAAATGTAATAGTTATTCAAATTGAAAAATTGAAAAATTATATATTGTTTTTGTGTTTTGGTAACTACGAAAGAATGTTGAAAATTATAATATTTGTCTATTTTTGTGTTTGTAAAAATATAAATTTTCATTCATTTTTTTTGGTGCATAAATTGTGAAAAATTATGTAACTGAAAATTGTCTCTTTTTTTTTTTGAAAATTTTATATTGAACATGGCCTCGTTGTTCGATAGATTTTCTTGAATTGGTTTCAAAATTATAAAATTTATGAAGAACAAATGTTATAAAATTTTGAAACAAAAGAAATAATTATGTAAAACATTATCTAGGTTCTTTAAGTTTATGTATGTATTTCACATTTTTATAAGATTAGAGTATTTCGATCAAACAGTGATGCATGACATTTATTGAGTTGTTTTTTTTAAAGCTTAGTAAACTATAGTTTCATAATATAGGAGTTTAATCCAACAGTGACTCATAACATTTAACGAGATAATAATTCTTTTGTGTAATATATATGCTACTAATACTAATACTTTCATGTTGTGGGAGTTGTAAAACAATAAGTCTGGATATCATGGAAATTATTTTATAAAATTTATCTCAAAACTTTGCTGATCAACTGACTCTATTGATCTTGGGTTGTGTCGATTAGCTGGTCAATTTGATCACAACACAATTTCATGTGAAATTTGATGATCTTAACATTGTTAGTTATGTCGTTCCAAAAAAAAAAAAAAACATAGTTGGTTATTAAAAAAAAAATCATTTTATTTCCTTTGAAAATTTGGTGAATAATTCAATTTTTTTTTGGTATTTATGGCATTAGATTTAAGAATTATTTTGTTTTGATGATAAGACATAATGTCATGACCCGAACCTGCCCCCGTGGGTTAAAGACATAACCGGCCAGTAATCATGAGATTACCTACGGCCTCAAACCAAAACAAACGTATTTTAACAGAGTTAATGGGGGCCAGACGGAAGCAATTTAAAATTTTGTCCATAGAGCTGTGCTTACATGGCACATCATAACGAACCATACATATGGATGTTAATAACTCACAGCAAATATGTACTACACAAGGTTTTGTACATACAGGATTATATAAGTCTAAGTCAACCCAAGAAAACTAAATACAACATATTCAGAGACTTCGCCCACATGACCAAAATAAAAAAGAATGACAAAAAGGCGAAGACGGGTCTCGTGCGTGAGGCGCAAGGGTTGACTCTTCAAAACCCTTGTCTCACAGACTTCACTGGGGCGAGTTCAGGTCATGACAGAGTGGTATCAGAGCACGAGTTAATAACTCACACACTTGTCCAAAAGAGCAATAAGCGTCTAGAAGAGATCTA